AGACAAATCTCTCGGATGCTACCAGTTAGCTGTGAAATATTTAAGCAAAGCTCTTGGCCACATGAGATGGTGGCACCGGGAGGGGTATGGTTCCAGGAAAATGCTATAATTTTGAGGGAGGAGAACATTTTGGCCCGATGGTCCCGGTCCGTTACTGAAGCAGGAATGATGATGACAGGGTGTAACACCAGAGAAACCCCCAGGGTCTTCTTTGTTGGCAGTGTTCTAGTGAGAATGACATGTGTGACCTTAGGCAAATCACACCCTCTCCGGGCCCAGGGCCCAGCGTCCTGCCCAGTGAAATTAGACTGGGGGTTGTACAACCTCTGCCTCTCCCCACTTTTCCACAAAGAATTTCTGCTACTCTCTCCCTGGAGCCTCACAGGAGCTAAGACACAGACCTGAGTGAGTGATTACTTCTTTTTCCCCAACTATTTTCGCAGAAAGGGGAGCTTCCCAAAGGACACCTTAGGGCAGCCTGCAGCCCTGCCCAGGGGGTGGGGGGGGGGTGACTGCGGAGGCGGGGAGTATGTGGGCGTTCCCTCAGAATGCCGGAAATGGAAATGGCCCACCGGTTAGAAGGCTTGGGGAGTTGGGCTCTGGTCCCTACTCTTTCACTCTCCAGGTTTCTGAACTTAGGCAGGTTCCTTTAATTCAGAGCCTGCTTTCATTATTTAATTTATAGGGTTAATTGAGAAAATATAGTATAGGTAAAGCACCTTTCTATCCCTTAGTGAAGTGCTTAATAAATAATAGTTATTGAAATGATCAGTCACTGTTGCCATTATTATTTATTGTTGGGTGAGGGTGGATGACGACTCCCATCCCCAACCCCTCCCCTCTTCCCCTCCTCCTCCCAGTTGGCTTCTCCTCCACTGCTTCTTGGGCCAGGAGCGCGCTCTGGGGGAGGGGGGTGGAGCCTCACTCCAGTTTGGCCAGAGCCTGCTAAGAAGGGACCGGCCACTGAGTCGGGCTTTGCACCTGACTAGACACCTCCCTGCTTGCGTCCTTCTAACGCAGCCCTCCTCACCACCCAGGGCCCTCGCTTTCTGAAGCAGTCATGCCTGGAACAAAGAGTGCCAGGGGTCCCCAGAAAGCTGGTGTCCT